CCGCGGCCCTTCCTTCCCCGGCCGGGGTGCCGGGGCTGCGATACAGCCGAGGGCCCTGAAGGTCCGGCCTGGGGCTTGTGCTTGCCCCGGGGCGTCCCCCGCTCGCTACGGGGGGTCCGGTGAAGCGTTTGGGAGCGCTTCGCGGCGGTGCCCGGCGGGCGCTGCGCTCGCACCCCTGGGCGCGCTGGGAGCCCGTAAGAGACCGCCAGGTGCTCCAGCCCCAGCGTTGCCTTCTTTCTTCTTTTAAAATAACGTTTGAAGTCATGCCGGCAAGAGGGAGCGTTCTCACCGTTTAAGAAAAAAAATGGAAAGGCTTTTCTGTAGCTCCTGAAACCCAAACCTGGCAATGGTACGTGAACTTGACTCAGGAATTTCTGTAGCTGAAATGAAGGCTCCAGAAGGGGATATCAAAAACCTAGCTGAGCTGTTGCTGTTGAACTTTCATGTGTCTCTCAGTCAGAGGTGGTATTAATTGGACATCTGCTTTACAACGTGCTTGCTTGACTGAGGCGCTGCTTTTTGAATATACCGAGTACATGGAGCCTGTTGAAGCTTGGTCTCAGGACCTTAAATTAAGATTTTTAGTGTTCCACGTAGGTCAAAAGTTAATTACAAGTGTCTTTGTCAAATGTGAGAAGCAGTTTTCCCAGGCCCGTGTATTCTGCTCCTTGCTGCTTTGCTTTAAAGCAGTTTCCCAAGAGGAATTTAAGCAGTATTGTTACAGAAGGGGGGGGGGGGTTATTCTGTATGTTTCGAGACAATGTCTGAACCTTGTTCCTGTAACAACAGATTCAAACTCGAGTTTTCTCATCTGCCGTATGTTAAACAAAACGAGCATCTCGGTGATCTGTAAGTTTTGTCCCCGTGTTCCTTGGTGCTAAGATTTGCTAATCTATATAAAACGGTTTATCCTGAAGAGGTAGGTTGGTTTGTTGGATATACTAGTGTATCAAACCGGCCATGTTAGTATTTCTGGAAAAAAGTTAAGTGACTTATCAGCTACTGTACGTGTCTTGGAAGAGGCCAGGCTTAAATTTCACCAAAAAAAAAAAATAAAGGCAGCTAAAACCATTCTGTGAACAATGGTAGGTTTTGTTAGGCCCGTTCTTTGCCTTTCTCCCTCTCTCTTTCTAAATAGAGCAAAAGTATTTGTCACTGACAGCTTTATTTCTTTCCAGGTACTAGTGAACACTGCCTGCTGTTTTCTGATGTTGGTTGCTAAGCTAATCCAGTGTATGGTGTTCGGCCCTCTTCGTGTCAGTGAGAGGCAGGTAAGACAGCTGTTTGTTGCCTTGGATATCTGTGGTGGTTCATAATTTCTTGCTGTGCGACTGGTGTGGTTTTCCATATGGAATTGCTTGAAAGTACATAAGAAGAGTAAATTGTAGAACAACTTAAGTCTTACCATTATACTTCTCGCCTTTGAAAATGCTGTTCGATAAAACCGTATCGAAGACAATCTGCCCAGGAAGCCCTTCATGGTTAGCTAGGATACCCACAGTCACAAGCTTCCAGTTTATTTCTGAAGGGAACTTTCCTTTTTCATTGATACTACTGTATTTTATAAGCCTATGGTCAACCTGAAAATCCTGCTTCCTTGATGAGCTCTGTCAGATTTCTTACAAGTGCACCCTCATTTCAGAATATTTATAAAGTGTTTTTCTTTATTCAGTTGGCATTTGGCAGCATTTCTCCATTGTTGTTAGTTATCAGCGCTGGCAGTGTGAGTTCCCTCTTGTACCTTGTTTTGTGCCTTGACTGCTGGAGAAGCGCTTTCCATCCTCAGGCACTGAGTGGATGGTTTACCTGCCCTCAGGTTTAAGAGGGAACCAGGCAGGCATATTCCCAAAGAAAGGAGGTAGGCAGGGCTGAAAACTCAGGCTGTTTAGTCCTGCTCTTGGGCTAGGTGGGAATGTTTATAAAAGTTCAGCAAGAGAACTGTTAAAGCCCAGGCTTTTTAAAAACAGGATCCTGCAGAAGATGAAAGCAGCAGCAGTGGTTTGAATAGTATCTGTCTATTTTTTTTTTTTTAAAGAAAGGCATATGCTTAAGTTGCTCTGTGTAAATGCAGTAGCAGTGGTTTGAAGTGTGTTTTTATATTTTTTAAAAAAGTGTGTAAATGCAGTTCTTTAGGAAAGATGAGGATTTGTGACATGCAGAACCGAGGCACATACCCTTTCATTAATAGCCATGGATCTCTCAAAGCCTATTGTATTTGTGATTCACACCCCGCAGAGCCTCTGGGTGAAGTGTATTAAAAACAAGGCACTCTCAAACTGCATTGGGCCAGATTTTCTTTCCAGTCCGTGTTGGCTATAAGGATGTGGAATTTTAACCCGTGATAATTTCCAGGATGTTCTCTACCCTCTTAAAAACTGAAGTGAAAAGCAGTAATAGTGTGGATCCGTGTGCGTTTGGAGAGTGGGAGTATGCTTCAGTTCTCATGTAAAGGAAAGCTGGTTATTAATATTGGTGAGCCAAAAATGTTAGCATTATGAAGGAATTCTGGGCCTGTCTTAACTAAACTCCTGGTGATTTCATCGTGTTCTTTAACAAAACATTTTATTTCATATTTTTTTTTATCCCCAACAAGCTGGCTTGCTATCTGCTACTTGAGACCATCATATTGTTTCTTTCATACTGCATGTGTGTGGGAATAATTTTTTTTCATTGCTCATGCGTCTCATTCTCCACTGTAGGCATTGTGCTTTTTAAGGGCAGACTTTGTCATCTTTTCTTAATCATCTCTACTTTTTGACA